CGCCTCTTCACAGCGAGCCCAACCCCCTCCCCCTGACCCCCCGCAACAGAGCAGCCGCCGCGGAGTACTGACCGCCGGGGAATACACCCTATATTCATTTGTTTTCCTGCTAAGATCTGCCCGTTAGCTGCTTGAGGATTTCCTGCCAATATTCCAGCGCCTGTTCGGCACCTGACACGATGAATCTGACAGATGGTGAATGAATTAACACAGAAGCCGGTCACTCCTCGCAGGGCTCAGGCTCAGCCCTTTGGCCCCGAGGCTCCCCGCTCGGCCCGAACCCTGCAAAAATGTACTGATCGCCTGGGGCCAGGAGCCTTTCCTAGCCCGGAGCACGCAAAGGGGCTGGGAGGGGTGGGTGGCTGCGGCGTTTTGCAGGGAAACTGCGCGGGGGGCAGGGTGCGGCAATGGCGACGGCAGCCAGGCCCGGCGACCGATCTCAAGGGCTAAGGACCCGAAAAAGGGTGGCCTGAATCTGGGTCTGAGGAGACCGAGCCAAGGGCAGAGGTGATGGGCTCAGAGAACGCAGGCGCCCAGGCCAGGGCCCTCGGACACCGGTGACAGAGGCCAAGACCTCGGGCTGCCGAGAGCCAGGACGCTCAGCCGCAAGCACAAAGAAGTGAGACGCCAAGGCGCGAGGGGGGCGAACCTGAGGCGATGGGCCCGCGGCGCCATTTTGTGACCGCAGAGAGGGCAGCGTCCAGGCCCCGGGGGAGGTGTGGGAGAGCCCAGTGCGGCTCTGGCACGTCCCTGTCCCTCCCCACCCGACGCCCGACCCCTACCCTGCCGGGCCCACCTGTATAGCTCATGGCAGCAGCTAACACCGCAACCAAGGACTCCGGCAGCTGCCCCACACGTCCGACGCCGGGATAGCGGCGGCGACAATCCCCGGGGCCCCTTCTAACACAACCGAACCCGCCTCCCAACCCCATTGGCTCGAGTCGGATGCCCGCTTTATTCCTATTGGATGCCAGCGCCGTCTATCCCAGCCCATCCTCATGCCAGAGGCTGATGGTGCTGCCGATCTGGCGAAATCCCCGCCCACTATTATTCTAAGCCCGCGATGATTGGCTGAGAGAGGCAGGCCAAGAGACCGAATCTTGTAGAAATCGAAGGGGCGGAGCCGTGTACTACGGGAAGACTTGAGGCCCAATCGTGGCTGGCGGAAGGAGCGCCTGTGCCCTGGAGGACCGCCAGAGGGAGCCGGGACCTCCGCGCAGCACACTGCTCCAATCTCGGCCCTGCTACTGAGGTGCTGTGTAAACCTAGGCTGTTTCTTAATTTCTCTGGTCTTCAGCTCCAAAACGAGCACAGTAAAGCCATGCCAGAATGAAAATTACAATTAAGCCCCAAACAAGATACTGGGCATACGTTCAATCAAACATTTGAGATAATATATGTAAAGAAATCAGTCCAGGGTGCGGAAATATTTTGTTACTGATGGTTGCATAATGATAATAGGTACATTTATATAGCATGTTTATATTGCACATAAATATTGCATATGTAATAAGTATATCTGTTGTTTATCATCTCAAATGCTCCCTCATACCTGCAAGGATCTTTTTAAAGAGTTTCCCATTTAAAAGCTGAAACTGAGGGGCGCCTGGGTGGCTCAGTCAGTTAAGCGACTCTTGGTTTTGGCTCAGGTTACGCTCTCACTGTTGGGGAGTTCAAGCCCCTTGTGGAGCCACGTGCTGACAGCATGGAGCCTGCTTGGGATTCTCTCTCTCCCTCTTTCTTTTCTCTCTTCCCCTTCTAGCTCGTGCTCATGCTCTCTCAAAATAAATAAACTTTAAAAAAGTAAATATAATAAAAAATAAAAATAAATAAAACTGAGGCTTGAAATTCATGACTCGTCCAAGGTCCTTGGCACTTAAGTGTGACAGTTTGAAGCACCCCCCGCCCCCAAAAAACTTTCTTAGTTCGTTCAGGACTTTAGAGACCCTGTAATAGTGCAGTCTGGTGCCAGCACTGTGTCCTCCGCATCCTCACTGGTTGTGTGGAATCTACTTCCAGAAACATCTCATAACTCCTACGAGATTTGACAGAGCTGCAGACACTGAAAACGATAGTAACTACTGTTTGTGAAAACTCATTAAGGTGAGTACAAATATGGTTTATACGTGTTTTTTTCTGCTTTACTTTAAAAGTTTGTTTTAAAGTTATGAGCTCTGTTGCTGACTTCTTGATATTAAGGAATTGTCGCTCTCGTTAGGTGTAATAATGGCAATTTTGTAAGACCCTATCCTTAATTGAAAGACTGAAATATTAAAAGATTGATTCACATAATGACGATGGTTCACCATAATTCAGATGGTTTTGGAAAGGGAAGGAGGGTGTTGGAAGGGTTATAGCTGAAAAGACTGGTGTTGAGTTGATCACTAGTAAGTAGACGAGGGTTCGTTTCAGTATTCTATTATTCTTTGGTTGGAATTCTCCATGATAAAATATTTTAATAAAGGAACTTCTCTGAAAATGGCTTATGCGGAACTTGCTGCTGTATAGGTTCAAGATGCGTTGAGAAACTCTAAATATGAAGCACATAGAACTGGTTAACGTGCACTCCAGTTTGGGGGCTCATTGCAGTGTCACCATCAGAGATGCCTGCTTGTTCTCCAAATCCAAGCGAAGCCCCCCCCCCCCCCCCCCCCCCGCCCCCAAACCTCTCCTGGATCCTACAGCTTCCTTCACAGCACATACCAGAGCCATCATCTTACCTCCACTGGGTGATTTTGTTAACATCCTACACTCTGCCTCTGAGACAGAATGGCCTGAGAAAGTGCATGCTCAAAGTTTTCAGAAAAGATCCCTCTGTGCTAAAAGGTGTACGTGACCCTTTGGAGGACCTACATAGCCATCACTGTATGTGTGGGTGGGGAGGAACTTCCCATGTTGCTTTATAAAGTCTTGAGCCGTTTGAACTTTTTACATCCAGCTTCCTCACTTTTATATCTTTAAATCTAATTTATAAAAAGCTGAAAGGGAAAGTACCTATGGGCCAGCTCTCATCCCAAGAGAGGGCCTCCCTGCTTTCAAAGTCTTGGACATGCCCACCCACAGCGTGGGATGGACAGAAGTGGATGAGCCCTTCCTCCACCAAGCGAGATGTGTACCCTAGCCTCACAGGACCAGAAAAGGCAAGAGTGTAGGCCAAGACCACTCTGGTGGGCATGTTATCACAGCTTGTCAGCCTGTCCCTCCCAGGCAGGGACGTCGTGGGGGGCCTGGGGCAATAGGGCTGGGGGTAGAGGAAGCCTCTGCTGTCTACACCCAATGAGGTCATTCCCACTTTCCAGTCCTTGGCCGTTGAAGTGAAAATGATGAGCTGAAAAACCACATGCAATAAACAAGAAGGAGCAGCCAACAAAATCTCTTAAAATCTCAGAAATGTTCAATAAACATTTGCAGAGCGAGAAAATAAATAACATCACGAAGGAGCCAGCAGCTCCCTTCTCCCCTCGTGTGATTCGGGTTCAGGGTGCATGTGTCTCCAGGCAAGTCACATGTCTTGAAGGCAGGCTGGTCCCAGCTCTCTGAAGGCTGCCAGCAACTGTGGGCTTCTCCCTCCCCCGGCAGGTCCCCCACGCCCTCACTGGACCGCTCCTGCCCTTGGAGGGCCCTCCAGCTTCATTGCTTCTCTCCATCCTGGCTCCCTTCCTAGACCAGCTGCCCAGAGCCTTGGTTCCTCTCCTCTGCTCACAGGAGCCGCTTTGCCAGCCAGCCAGCCAGCCAGCCAGCCGGCCAGAGCCCCTCACCAACCATGCCACTGAGGGCCAACAGCTGGGAACCTGGGCTCATCCCCAGCTGGGTCTGGTCAGCTTGGCGGCCAACAGGAAAACCCAGGGCCTCCGGGAGCTCTAGGGGGAGGTGGCTCGATCCCAGCCCCGGCTGCCAGACGATGCCAGCCTGTCCACTTGACAGAAAAACACACGCTGGCCGCCTGCCCCGGGGTGTTTCCAGAAGAGAAATTTAATCTAATTTACATACTTCTAGGTACATCGATAACCAAAATGTGGCCACTGAAAAAAGTTAAAAGATCAATCAGCTCCCGGTCTCTAGCTGGCCCAGGATTGCAAAATAAAAAGATCCACGTTCCTTATTCTCTACACAAAACGCGTTTTTAAAAAAGTGAAAGGTCTAGGGAGCTATACATAGAAAGCAACAGTGAAAAGGAGGAGGGGAGTGGGGGTGGGGGAGGAGAGTCCCATCCCCACCCCCTCCTGGGCCCCAGAGCCCCCCAAGGCTCTGGGGGGCCTTGACATGGCAGGAGGCAGCTGTCAGCTCTGAGCTCTTCCAGGCTGGGAAGGCCCCTCTGGGGGGGTGGGGGGCGGCCAACAAGGATTTCCGTGGCATCATGGGCTCAGTGGGGGGCTCCAAGGCCCCAGCAGGCCCTCAGAGGGAGCGTGCCTTCCCCTGAGCAAGCACCGTGGCATGATGTGGTCGTTTGACACAGGATCTGGGGGGCTAGGGCAAATCCTGGGTCTCACGAGGTGCGTGCGTGCGTGCACGTGTGCCTGTGTGTGCGTGCATGTATGTATGTGTGTGTCTGTGTCTGTGTCTGCGTGTGCGTGTGCGAGAGGATATTCACAGGGGCAAGAGGGAACCAGGGCAGGGGTCTTTGGGGTCTTTGCAAATGGCCACGGATGGCGAACATAGCCCCGCCTGGCTGCCAGATGCGGGGGAGCGCTGGCCTTCCTCCCCTTGACCAGATCAGCTGCCACCACAAGAGACCTGGCCTCTGCCCCTGCTGGACCAGGTGGGCGTGGGCTGAAGGAAGATGCGCTGTGTGTGGCCCCAGAGCCCTCGGGCTGGGGGAAGGGCCACTAGCTGGCTCCTGGCGCCCCGGCTGTAGTGTGCCCGGCCCCCAAGGGGTGCCGGTTTGAGGTTTTGGCTTGCTCCTTTGGAAACGGAAAAGAAAGAGGGAGGACAGGGTGGAACAGACGGAGGAGAAAGAGAAGACAGAGGTGGCACGAGAGGGAATTTGGAATGCTTCTGTGTCAGGGCGCCTCTGCTGCCGCTGTCTGTGCCTGCGGGGCCCGGGGTTCCTCGGGTGGGGGGTCCGCTTTGGAGAAATTCATCTCCAGGATGTGCCGCTGTAAGTGCCGCACCCACTCCTCCTGGATGGAGAGGGGCCCCTGGAACTCCACGTCACAGAACCTGTGGGGGAACAGAAGGGAGGCCGAAGTGCAGCCCAGCCCACGTGCCCGGGCGTCAGGCACACCCGCCACGGCTCGCTGTGCACGGTGCAGGCCCAGGGCTTCAGGGAAGGGGCCCTTCACAGACGGCTTCCTCTACCCACCCCTGGATGATGGCAGGGTCCCCTACAGACCCTCATCATCTCTAGGCTCAGGGAAGTCTGCTGGCTCTGATGCTGGGAAAGGGCCATCGGGCTTCCATGGCCCCTCTGCCGTCTGACTGAAACACATGAGCTGAGAGGACAGAGACCCCAGAGCAGCAGACCCTGCCCTGCCAGGCCCCAAGACAGAAGGATGGCAGCTGGGGAAAGGGGGTCAGGCACTAACTCACACCCACCCTGCTCGGGCACCCACCTCCCCAATTCCTTATGCCTGAGGTCCCATGGGAGGCCTCTCAGAACAGGGGCCCAGGACCTGAGCCTGTGATGCCATAGACTTGGGTTCGAATCTTACTTCTGACTTGGCCTATGTGGCCTGAGGCCACCTTAAGTGTCAGACCCAGTTTCCTGGCTTCTGATGGATGCCTGGACTTTGATAAAAATGAACTAAGACCTTCATCTGTCTTAATCAGACAAGCACTTGTCGAGTGCTTACCATGTGGCAGGCATAGTTCACGTGTTTCATAAATACTCAACTGTTTAAACTTCATGACAAATCTATTAGGTAGGTCTGTTGTCAACCCCATTATATACATGGGAGCATTGAGGTTTGGAGCAGGAAGCCCTTGCCCAAGGCCACTACACTGATTAGGTGTCAGAGCCAGTTCTGGAAACCAGGTCTCGTTGGCTACAAACCTCAGGGACCCAGCCTAATGCTCTGAGGTGACGCTCTCTGTTGAGAATCCCTTAGCCTGGGTCCAGCCATGCTCTGAGGCAGTCCTTAAAGCTACATCTCCTGACTGCCACCAACCCCTGTGCTGTTCAGAGGTTCTGGGTGACTAAGCCCCAGGTAGGTGGTCTTTCTCCCCCGCTGCCCCAGGGGGCCACGTACCTGCACTTGAGGGTGTAGATGTTGCCAACAAACTTGACCAGTGATGTCTGGGGGGGCCGGGGTACCAGGGAGGGGACCGGCCGGACCCGGGGTGGGGGTTGCCGCACCTCCTCCAGCTTCTGCTGTAGATCATTGGCCTCTTCACCCCCCCGGACCGCAGAGGCATCTGGAGGGCGGGCTTGTCGGCGCTCAAATTCTGAGGCAGGGAAAGGTACGGGGAGGGACAAGACATAAGCCAGAGGGCAAGAGCCCCGGGAAGGCAGGTTCCTGCCTTCAACAAGCATGGTGTGAAGGCTGTGGGGAACTGTAGGATAGGACAGGACAGTTGGTCACTGGATGCTGCCTGGGCCTGGGGGAGGAGTGGGGAGGGGGGAAGAGTTGGGATGGTGGCCAGATGGGTGAACGGGTGAGCAACTGGGGAAGTGACTAAGGGCAGGTGCCCCTCGCCCTCAAAACCCCCTCCCACCAGCACTCACTGTTGATGTTCTGCCGCTGGTGCTCCTCAGCCTTCACAGTGCCTGGCGGGCTGGCTGCCAGAGGCCGCTCACCACTGTCAGCTGCCCGTCCAGCCTCAGGCCCTGGCTCACCCCCAGCACTGCGGCCCACCACAGCCAGGCCCCCGGGTGCCAGCCCTAGGGGCGGCCGCTTGTCACTGTCGCGGCCATGGCCAGCACTGCGGAACTTCTTGGTGAATGGGCGGCCGCCCTGGATGTAGCTGCGGTAGGCCCCCACCTTCTGGGGCCGGTGCTTGATCCACTCGCTCAGTGTCTCAATGGGTGAGCCGTTTACACACCACTCGGTCACGCCAAACTGCCGCAGGTGCGCCCGCGCGTGGCTGGCCAGGGCCTTGCGGTTTTCGAAGTAAAGGCCACACAGCTCACAGCAGGCCTCGGTGGCTGCAGGCAGAGGGGGTGCTGCTGAGCCCCAGCCCAAAGGCAACCAGAGTGCCCAGAAGGCCCTGCCCAGGTCAGGAGTCAGTCCCACCTCCCACCGGGGCCTCGCCATGGGCCCCTGCCGGGGGTCAGTGTGTGCACAGCACTGCTGGGCCCTGTGGGCCCCGGCAGGTGCCCTCCCAGGACCCTGCCACTGGCTGCTTACAGGAATGGGAAGTCTTCTCGTGGAGGGTCTTTGCCTTGAAGGGCAGTTCAGTCTGGATGTAGGTCTTGGCCTTGACCTCTGCTGGGAGGAGGCGGTCCTCCTGCAGGGGCCGCTTGGCTGCCACTGAGCCCAGGTAGCCAGTGGCTGTGGCCTTGGCACCGGTGATGGGCGCCAAGCTGAGCTCTCGAGGAACTTGGGCCGGCCCAGCTCCTGGTTTGCCTGGGCGGCCAGCCATTGGCGCCAGCGGCAGGGGGGCCTGCACAGGCCCTGGAGCAGCCGTGGGGGGCCCGTCCTCAGCCAAGGCGGGGGCCAGGTCTCCAGCGGGCGGCTCTTTCTTGATGAGGCACGGTTTGGACTTCTTCTTGAGGATCTCCCGCAGCGTGTCGATGGGCGAGCCGTTGACAGACCACTCGGTCACGCCCATCTGCCGCAGGTGGGAGCGCGCATGGCTTGACAGGCCCTTGCGGTTCTCGAAGAACTCACCGCAGAACTCACAGCGGATGTCACGTACAGGCTCTGCCCGGGACGCTGCAGGGGGTCCAGGGTGGGGGGAAGGGGAGGAGAAGGAGGGGGCGGCTGCGGCGGGAAGCCTCCAAGCTCAAGGCTAGTGTTAACTGTCCCATCCATACAGCCCCAGACCCAAATGACCCACTCCCTCATCCACTTCCAGGGGCCCCTGTGTACATCCAGCCCTTCTGCCTGCTCTGTCACCTCAAATCCTAGCTGGCTTCAAGATGATCCCCTGTGACATCATGAAGCAGTGAGAGCAAGCGCTTCGTTGATCCTGGGCTCAGAGGCCAGCTTGGCTGTGACCTCCTTAATGTTACGCTGGGCTACGCTGGGCAAACCACTTCCCCTCTGAGCCTCAGTTTCCTCCTTTGCAAAATACAGATGGAAACTTCCACCTTGAGGGAGCAGTTCAAAGCACATGGCACACAGCTGGTAATGAAATGCACAGAAGCACTAAGAGAGAGAGGCCTGGGCCATCCTCACCTGCTCAGTACATGACTCCGCCAACTGGAGCAGAAAGAACACGGTGACACGCACAGTATGACTACTATATACATACCAGGCACCGTGCTGGGTGCTTTATACCACTTTGGAACTATACAGAGCTTGGACCATGCTTATCTTCATTTCCAGAAAGAAGACACTTGCCCAAGGTCACATATTGCTAGACTGCTGAGCGCTTAACTTGAACCTGACTCCGCATGTCAAGCACTTAGCAACCAGGAATGTCAGAAAGACCGTTCAGATGCCCACTCAGAGTGCCTAGACTCCTGCCGGTGGAAGACATCATGAACTGACCCCTGTCATCTTTCTCCCCAGAAATCTGGTTGGCAGACACTACCAATCAACTAAAGATGGCCCCAGAGATAAAAATCTTTTTGCCATCATCGAATGGCACAATTCTGCCTCCCCAGAGTGGATGAAAGAGCATCAAGAAGCAGCTCAGCTGGGATCTGCACAGCAAGAATGCACAGCTAACCCCTTGTCCTCCAGACCTGTGTATCCTCCCTTCCATTTCTACCGTGGGCGCTTTGGGTACCCATGAAGTGCTGGGATGAGGGTGGGGAGGGGGCCCGGGGAGACCCCTCTACCTGTTTTCACTGCCCTGCCCCGGGGTCACACTTACACAGGTTCAGGGGGGCCATGTCTTCCCGCGGTGCCGCCCAGGGACCCTCGGATGGGTGAGGCTCCCCATGAAGGGCCCCTGGCAGCATCTCCCGTTTGATCTCCACCCGCATTTGTTCAGGCTTCAGCTTCTTGGGCAGGGAGGGTGCGGCCAGGCCTGGGAACATCTTCCGGGCCGTGGGAGGAGGAGAGGCAGTAGGTGAGTGGCCTAGGGGGCTGCCTGGTGGCGGTGGCAACTTCTTGGCCAGGGGTGAGAGGTGAAGGTCTGCGGGGCTGCGGGCTTCCAGCGAGCTGCCAGGACCTCCGCTGCCCATCACCTTGGCCAGGGCTTTCGGGCTGGGCCCTGGTGGGTTAGGGGGGCCACCAGGCCGGGACTGGGTCCGTCTCTTGAGGATCTCCCGTAGTGTGTCAATGGGCGAGCCGTTGACATACCACTCGGTCACGCCCATCTGCCGCAGGTGGGAGCGTGCGTGACTCGACAGGCCCTTGCGGTTCTCGAAGAACTCACCGCAGAACTCACAGCGGATGTCTCGAGCTGGCTCTGGGCCCGAGGCTGCAGCAGGAGAAAGGAGTAATTAGCATCGTGGGCACCATCAGCATCGTCGCCTGTGGGTCTCCTGGTCGGCTGGGCATGGACAGCAGCACGCCCACAGGCTGGGGTGGTGGTGGAGGGCAGGTGCAAGCGGGGGAACTGAGCGGGGTGGGGACCAGACACTCAGCAGGAGCGAGGGGAGGCTCCAGAGAGCGCATGGGCCCTTGGTCCTGGCAGAGAAGGATGGAACTAAGACTCCACGGCTCTGCGGGTCCCAACAAGGACAGGGGGCAAGAGGGCAGGAAGTAGCAGCCTAAGTGCCAAATGCCATCCAGACCAGGGGCAACCACGGGCACTTTCCACACCAAAAGGTAGCACCCCACCCTTGGCCTTCATTCTCAGGGAAGGTCACAGGCACGGAGGTCAAAGGCCAGGAGAAAAGGCCTAGCAGCCAACTGCCAGCAAGATCTCTGGGCAGAACCAGCCCACTGCCAAGGGCCCCTGTCTACTCCCTGCCCCAGCAGGAAAGGAGTAGGGAGGGGGCTGCGACCCCCCCGGGAGGGGCTCCAGGGCCCGCAGGGAGGAGGGAGCGGCTGAAGCGAGAACCTACAGAGGTTGAGAGGAGACGGCTCCACATCAGAGGCCCAGAAAATGCCGGCGGCTGCGGCGGCCGAGAGGTCCTGCTTCCCCCAGGGGCTGGCCGTACCCGCGGCCTTCAGCTTGGCCTTCTTGGCCGGCGGTGGGGGGGGGAGCAAGGAGAGGGCCGCAGAGGTGGGAGGAGGCCGCCCCAGCTGGGCCAGGGTGCCGCGCCCGGGTGGGAGGCGGATCTGGACGCCGTCCCTCCTGATGAGCCCGTGGAGCACGTCTATGGGGGATCCCTTGGCGTCCGGGTCGCTGACGCCCAGGTGGCGCAGGTGGGCGCGGGCGTGGCTGGACAGGCCCTTGCGGGTCTCAAACCAGGCACCGCACAGCTGGCAGTCCAGCTCTCTGCCCCCGTCACTATCTAAAGCTGCGGAGACAAAACACAGGGGGGGGGTTCACGGCCGCCACCTTGGCCGGCCCTGGGGGACTGAGGCAAGAAGACCTGGTGTGATTCAAGGCTGCCCAGGCCATTCAGGGTCCAAGACTTGTGCCGCAGATTTATTTTAAGAGGTTTTGGGAAACAGAAAGTCCTGTTCCCTGCCTAGCCCTTTGGCATCAAGGTGAGTGTGGAGAGCTTAAGAACATGGGGTGGAGAGGCGTGGCCAAATTCCAGTGGTACAATCTGATGCTCCCAGGCCCTCTTCCCTGGGACCCCAGCTTTGGGAGCTGTATGGGTGCAAAGCAGGGGCCCCACCCAGCTGCCAAGCATCATACAGCAAAGGGCAGACCTGCTCAGGGCCTTGCTCCTGAAAGCACAGCAGACAATGGAAGCAGCTTCATCAGAACATGAGGTGCCAACTGGGGTGCCCTGTTGGGCAGGGGGCTAGACCCTGGGCTCACCCTCAGACTCAAACACCAATGTGTGGGAAGGCCTGACTTCCTAAGGGACATCACGCTAAACCTGCTCACTGCACCTGGGGTGGGGGTGGGGGTCGGGGTGAGGGTGGGGTCTTCCCAAACCCTACTTTGCCAAGCCCACAGGTAGCCCAGGAGGTGTGGCTCCACCTATGGGCACAGTTGAGGTGCCTTTGCACATGACAGCCAGGAAGATGTGAAGACAGGACCGACTACAGGACCACTTGCCTGCCTATAGGACCCAAGATCCCCCTCCTGGGAAGCCAGGCCCACAGGAGTTCTGGTTGCTTTCACTGCCCCAACCCTCAGGCTCAGAGGAGGTCAAGAGTGTCCCTGAGTGGCAAGGGTGACCCTGACAGGCTCAGCAGCCACAGTCAGGCCTCCAGGGGGAGGAACAGCAAAGTAAAGTGGGAGGCAGATGATAATATGCTGCATGGTCAGCCCAACAGGAGACACAGTGCTCTGACCAAAATTCTGACCCAATGGACCCAGGACGTAGGAGCTGCAGTCCCCATCGTCCCCACCCTGGGCTCTGCAGCCCTCCCGGTGCCAGGACCTCCCTCAGCTCCCAGGACCCGCACTCACTGAGGTTCAGGGGCCCTTCGTCCTCAGACTGGGGCCACTGTGCCTTTGGGGAGGCTGGCCGGGGGCTCAGGGACAGCTGGGGGCTCTTGTCCTCAGGATTCTTGGGCGTAGGGGAGCCCGCCAGGGCCAGTGGTGCCTTCTTGAGGAGTGGGGAGTTGGGTGGGTGGGCCAAGCCTTTGGTGGAGAAGCCGGGTGGTGACTTGATGGCCTTGTTGACAGCAGGAGCATCCAAGGGTTTGGCCAGGGCAAGCAGGCCAGGCCGGGGAGCCCCAGCTACCACCTCCTTCGGTGAGTTGGACTTCTTGGACAGGCCTGGGGGCAACCCAAGGGGTGTGTCAGGCAGGCCCTTTTGTTTCACGAGCTCGTAGAGGAGGTCAATGGGGGCACCGCTGCTCTCCGATTCGGCCACCCCCAGCTGCCGCAGGTGGGAGCGCGCGTGGCTGGACAGGCCCTTGCGTGTCTCAAAGCAGGCACCGCAGACCTCGCAGGTGGTCAGGCTCTGGGCTGGAGGGCGAGATGAAGGCCACGAGAGCTGGCTGTGAGGCCCCTTGAGCCCTGCCCTCCCACTTCTCCCTCCCACCAAGGACCCCACTCACCCAGGTTCCCCGCAAGCCTCCCTGATCCTTAAAATGACCCTAATGAGGCAGGAATCAGCCTGTCCAGTTTGCAAACAAGGAAACTGAGTCTCAGAGAGGGAAGAGTTGTGCCCAAGGGCACACAGCAGGAGACAGAGCCCTCCGTGGTCCAGCCAATGGAACGCCTTTCAGATATGCAACATACCAGGGTGTCCTGGCAACAGGTGTTCACACAATTGCTGACCTGCCAGCTACACAGTTTCCAGAGCTGTCCCAGCCAGCCTCTGCAGCTCAACTCATGCCCCAGACACTGGGTTGGAGACCACAGCCACAGTCCCTGCGGTGCCTTGCACCCTCTTCTGCAGAGCCCTTCCTTATCCCTGCCTGTCTCCTTCTCTGCCTCCCTGCTCCCCAACTTCAATGACTCCAAGGACAGGCACCAGGTCTGTTCTGCTCCTCTCACATCCCTGGGGTCCGGCACAGTGCCTGTTACCACTCAATAATGATCTGAATGTCAACACACAGATGAGAAAATACCATGCAAAAAAACACACAGCTAACCAGGGCCAAAGTCAGCAAATGAACTGGGTCTGAGTGTGAGCTCATGAAAACCATGCTCTTTCTTTGGATGTCCCTCCCTCGCCCAGTGAGGGTATAGCTCAAGGCCATGCATGCCCAGGGCAACAGAAGCTCGAGAGAAGACAGCTAGATCTCTCCTCAGTGTCTTGAAGCGAAGAGAAAGCTGTTGACCCCGCACTAACCCCCAGACCCGAGAGTTCCCTATGAGCGTGACCAGCCTGACCAGCACCCCCACCTTGCCACCTGGGCCACTCACCCTTGAGATCTGGCAGTTCCTGCTTGCTGCCATGAGGAACCTCTGCAGCCACTTTGCTGCTCAGCCGATTGGCCACCTGCTCCAAGGGCCCAGGGACAGGCAGGCTCTTCTTGGGGAGCGGGGGGGAGCCCAAGTCCATGGCCACCATTGTGTTTTCCTCAGAACCCAAGCCTGTGAGGTTAGGAAGACAGGCTCAGCCCAGGCTGGGTGCGAGCTGTCTACCCCCGTAACACTGAGAGTGGCGGCATGGAGCCTTCTTCCTCATCCTCGGCAGCTGCTCTCACCCTGGGAGGCGACTCACCCCATGAAAACAGGGGCTCCATCCATAACCCCCAGCACCAGTAAGACCCAGGGATGTCAAGGCTGCCCACTGACAGCAGGGACTAGGAGAAGCTTCCACGCACCGGCACACAGACTGGTTGGGCAACACAGTGTAAGCAGAGACTCCCGTCCTAGGAGATCTGACAACAAATCTCTCTGGGCAGAACGTGTGCAGGGGAGCATGTCAGTCTTGGGGGCAGGTAGGTGGCAGTCAGAAGGGGAATCCAGTAAGAGAAGGCCAGGGTCAGAGGCCAGAGAAACAACAGAGAGGTGAGAAGCCAAGGACAGGAAGGAGGCTCCTCCAGAGGAGGCTCCCAGGACTTGGGAATCTGCACCAGACAAGACAGCTGGGGCTGCCGAGACAACTCAGGGCTCGGAAGTAGTCTACTTATCACAAGCTGAGGCCTAAGTCGGGGAAGGTGAGAACGGGGAGCCTCCACCAGCAGGGATCTGAATACGGACAGGAAAAGTGGGAATCACAGAACTTTGTGGGAAGTTTCCGGGACGTCCGGCCGGCCAGGAAGCTTCCCTGAATGAGCTGTGTATGAGAAGACGGAGTGGAAGGTATGTTTTCGTGGTCTAGTTTTTCAGAGAAGGGGGCCCGAGTGGCCCGCTGAGCCCCAGGTTTAGCGTTCAGGGCATGGAGACAGCTCTGAGAATGAAGGAACTGTGTGTCAGATGGGGCTTTGAAGTCGTTCAGTGCTCTGAGCAGGAAGCCACGCAGGTCCCCTGCTCAGTCTGAGTCCTACGGAAGCAAGGAGAAGGCAGGCAGGGGAGGCCACCGGGGTACGGGACACCGAGGACTTTGTCAGAGTCGCCGGGTGGAGTGGGCGCGTCTGTCAGATAGTGTAGGGACCGTGTCTGAAGTGACTTGGAGTGGGCTTCCGCGCCGGAGGGACCGAGACTGAGGCGAGGGGCGCTCCCGGGGCTCCAAGGGGGACAGAGGACATCTGTCAGACGGGGCGAGGGTCCCACGGAGCGGCGGCGGAGAGTGTTTCTGAAGCCCGGGACACTGCGAGCTCCGACAGGAGGCCCGGGGCCCGCGCGACCGGAGGGCCTGGGGGGGGAAGGGGAGTCCCGCAGACTGGAAGGCGGGCATCG